TTGTGGCAGGTGTTGGCTGTGTCTATCCATGAACTTCCAGGGAGTGGGATATTTTCATGACAGGGGCTGTGAAGTGCTTTGGTGATGATTTATGCTTCACCTCTTCCTGAGTGCTGTTCACGCTTCGTTAGTGATGAGCAGCTGCCCCTTGAAACCTGAACCATTACTTGAGGTTTTCTTTCTGTTTTGATCACAAGTCGATCATTAATTTCACATTGTAAATCCATTTTATTTTGTTCAAGACTTTTTCACTGCACTTGCCTATCTGCCCTCCTAAATTTGTGTGGCCATTTTGTTGGAAGGGATTTATCTCCCTGTTTCCTGCCCTCAGATTGTTTAAAAAAAAAAAGGATTCAACATCCCCACCAGTGACAAAARTTTCTAGAATTATTTTTAAGTCCTGCAAATGGGAAAGCTTAGGGACAGATGTAGTGCCTCCAGTTTTGTATCCAAGTTGTTATCTTACTAATGGAAGTTAAAAGGAAACTTTCAGCATTGGTGGCATAAAAATGAGGAACAAAAATGGTTTTACTTTCTTTTTCTAGTCACTTTTTTTATGAGAGGAAATGGCTTTTGGTTCCAAGAGTCATCAAATCAAATTTCTTTCTCAAGCAAGGCCAGACTTTTTTGTGATGTGGTGGAAACTTGCCAGTTTCTGGTGTCTTGCTGTAGGATAAAAGAGCTTTCAGACACGAGCCCCAAGTCTGTAATTCAATCTCCTTGGGAAGAGCTCCAGGGAGTTGCTGCTRGGATCAGGGAGGCTTTGCATGGAAACAGAGACCTGGGCAGATCTGATTGCCACGTCTGCACCTAGACAGGCTCCTTAATCTCTTCTGATCTGCGTGTGGAATCAGGCAGAGCTTCCAAATTTCTGGCTGTTGATTTATGGGTGTTTGTAGGTGGTGATAACTGAGTGAGCTCTGGGAGTCTGGTTTCATGCTGACTCCTCACTGCTGCTTAACTGAAATGGGTGTTATGTTGATGTTCCACTAGTGATCCAGAGCAAGGATACCTTCAGATGGACCCTAAAGCACCCTTGTACAATTTCCAAACAAAGGCTGTAGCCTGCCTTTGAAGAATACCTAACAAGAATTAAATTTTCCAAASTATTCAGTGGCATGAGAATGTATGATGTTAATGCTTGTGGGAAAACGCTGCTTTTACACCTCTGAAGCTCACTGTGTGACCCCAGGTAAGGTAAGATTCGTGTGTCTCAGGGTGCAGAGATATTGGAAGCTTGACCTCTCTGCCTGAGGATGGAACTTAGGCCTGGAAGTGACCTCAGCCCTTAGTGCTGCTGTGAGTCCTTTGCCATGATGGGATGTGGGATTAGGAAGGRGAAAACCCATCAGCTGTGACCTGCTGTGAAACACCCTCATTTAACACAGACCACTGARCAGTCACCAGCAAGCAATCCTTAAAATTAACTAACCAGAGCGGGATTCAAACCAGTAAATTTCCTCATAATAAAAGGTGTGAAAGTGTCTTACCAGTAAATTAAGAAAAAAAACGGACAGGAAGGACAGTCTTAYCTGGAAATTGCCCTGGAAATACTGCTCTTGCTTTTAGAGATTAAAGATGCCACTGTACTCTATCATGTTAAATACCTTTTTGTCCCATTTTTGGCTACGTTAGCCTGGGATAACATTGCTCCTCCAGTAATCTCATTTCTTTCCTATTTACACTCAAAAATGATTCTACCTTTAGAGCTAACCTCTTTTACCACTTGTTTATCACTAAAATCCTCTCTGGTTCACGTGGTGTCCCACATGCCTGTATGGAAGATGTGTTTRCACCAAGGGCAGGTGCAGTCACAAAAGGGGTAAAGCCCTTAACTGCAGAGCTCAGTGGGGTGCTGAGCCAGCCAAGGGGAGCAGTGTCCCACAGCAGCCCCAAACCCAGCCCAGGTGGGGCTCACAGCRTGCACAGGTCACCCCATGGAGCCAAAGGTTCTTGGGGAAGCACAAGATCACTTCTGAACTTCCTGCTGCAGTCTCAGGTTCTTTGGAACAGACTTTGCACCAGCATATCACTTCAGGATCCAGGCTGGAGCCAAGGTCTGCTCCTTCAACAGTATTTTAAGTGGGTGATTGAAAATCATAAAAAGCAGCAAAGACATGGAGCTTTCCCAGTGCTCACATCCTCATCCTTCCCTCCTGCAGAAGGGATTCACCCCATGAGTGGCTGTGCTGGCCTGGCCAGTGGCACAGTCACTGCAGCAGCCTGTTTGCTCTGAAGGAAAACAGGGCTGTTGGTCAGGGCCTTTGTGTGCCCATCCATCCCTGGTGAATCCCTGAGTCCTCAACAAACCTCAGCCAAATGTGACAGAGGAGGAGAAGCCTCCAACCTATTCCTTTGGTTTTCACCAGAGTCAGTGTAGAGAGATCTGGGATGGGGTGGGGTGGGAGCTCTGCCTCCCTCAGCCCCCAGAGACTCCAGAGGGTCAGGGCTGGTTGTAGGAGCAAAGCCAGGCCAGGGGTAGCTCTGCCTCCTCATGAGCCACCACAAAGTGATTTCTCCTTCTTGTGTGCCCAAGTTGGACCTTTCCCAGAACTCAGAAGGTGAGGAATTTTATAATCCACTCCTGGGGGGAAGCACCAGGCTGTTACATTGGGGGTGCTGTGACAGAGCACACAGCCACTGTCATCATCCTGTCTCCTGCAGGCCAAGGTAGCCAGTGTCTATGAGTCACCTGGCTTCTTCCTCGACTTGGAYCCAGTTCCAGGAGCTGTGGAAGCTGTGCAGGAGATGCTCCACATGAAGGAGTAAGGACACTTTGCACCCCGCAGCCCTTTTCCATGACCTTACACTCTTTTGCCTGACTTGCTAACAAAGGCTGTWTCTTTTCAGCACTGAAGTCTTCATTTGCACGAGTCCTCTCCGGAAATAYGAGCACTGCATTGTGGAAAAGGTGGGAGACAATTAATTTTAGTGGGCTTAATGCTGCTTTTGCAAGGCCTTGCTGTTTTATCCTACCCAAGTTGGAGCTATTCCTTTATAAAGACAGGAGCTGCTCTGGCTGCCAGGCTTCCCTCAATCCCTGTCTGAGGGACAGCTGCCCACACACAGAGCAGTAACTCAGGACAGGGAATCTCCGAGTGTCATGTGGTGCCAGAATTATTGTGGAGCAYGTGAGCCCTGGGCTCTTRRAGCTGGGYWGGGACCAGCTGTGTCAGCAGGTGACAGCAAAGGAACCCTTGTAGTGCGGCCCACAGGGATGGGGTATTCCCAGGGCATTCCACACTGGAGAACCATCAACCAACAAAATCTACTTCAGTCTAAATCTGGAGCCTGAGATGTCCATCTGTCCCAAAAGATGTGCTGAGTTGAAGAGGCTGTAGCATTGGAATGAGTCCTGTTTGCCAGTGGCACRAGAATGGAAGGGGGACTTTGGCCACTGCAATGACTCAGATGGGCACAATCCACGTGCTCTGGGCCAGCAGCCAGTGTTCCTCACAAACCCAACAGTTGGGCACAGCCAGGGCAGTGCTGAGTGAAGGCTGTCACACAAACGGGTTGAATCAGCATCCTGGGCTGCAGCCAGGTTCCATGTGGGRATTCCTGGACACAGATGTAGGTTTACAGGGGGAAAAAATTGCTGTATTAGGGCTGGTCTGGCATGAGCAATGTGCAAAGGGGGAATTTCTCCCATTCCTTGTCTCTGCAGTATAAGTGGGTAGAGAAACACTTGGGACCTGAGTTTGTGGAGCGGATTATCCTGACCCGAGACAAGACGGTGGTGGCTGCTGACCTGCTGTTTGACGACAAGGACACCATCCAAGGTTTGAACAGCGTTTCCATGGCTGGCTGTTGGCTGGGGAGCCATCCTGTAGCTGATTCCAGCTTTTCCCCCCTCTCCATAGGAGCAGAGCCAAACCCGAGCTGGGAGCACATCCTGTTCACCTGCTGCCACAACAGGCACCTCCAGCTGCCGGCCCCGCGCCGGCGCCTGCACTCCTGGGCCAACGACTGGAAGGCCATCCTGGACAGCAAGCGCAGGCAATAGTGCAGGAAGGGGATGCTGTGCTCTTTCCACTGCCAGGGAACAACCAGCACATCCCCTGCCATGCCCAGGAGGCACTGTCACTGCGGGGGTCAGTCATAGCAAGGAAAGAGCTGCTCCTGTCAGACACGGTGCTCCAGGTTTCTGGAAGATTGCTCTGCCCTCAGTCCATCTCTGTAGCRTTTTGGATGTTTGGTGTTGGAGAACTATAAACTACAAGCAGCTGCGGTTGGATTTTTATGTGTGTTTAACCTCATTCCTGTTTGGTTTGTGCTGTCTGGGGGTGGAGGGGAGGAAAAAAGGAAGAAAGCAAGCTCTGAAAGTTGAGCAGATCCAGTGGGAGTGTCTGTCGGGGAGCACTGGGCTCAACAGGGAAACCTTTTATGTATTTAGTCACCATGCCTCTTGGGTTTTCTCTTGCCTCATTGGCTGATAATGAAAAGAGACTGAGCTGRCTTCAATTTCTGGCCCGTATGCTTGGGTAAGAGTGGGCAAAGGCTGTTAAGTGCTGGAGAAAAATATTCATGAGCTCACATGGAACTGATGACACAGCWTTTAGGTTAATGTTTTATTAAGAGAAGCTTTTACAAGACACTGGTTCTCATGAGCCAGACTGTCATAAGTCTTCTTTTATTTTTTATTTTTTATCTCCACCTTTCTCACCAGTGGTAATGAAAGAAAAACTCTCCACTTCTTCATTTATAAGGGAGGTATAGCCTGCCCTGTGCAGTGATTCCCTAGCTGGCTGCCTGTGCCATGAGTAAAGGATGCCATAACTAGTGCCACAGGGATGGAGAGATCGTGAACTGCCAGGGCAGGAAAACTCTCTGCAGAAGGAATAAATTTCTCTGACATGTCAAAGTCATTTGAGTTGAYACTCAGTGTCACTTGTCACTGACAACCAGCCAGGAACTGGAGTGGATCTAATTCTGCCCAATAACCTGAGCAGAAAACCCCTCATTGCAGGGAAAGGTTATTTGTRCAATCTGGGTGCTGAGCTGCACTTGGCAAAGCGTTCCCCAACAGCCATGACCTGCTTTATTTTAAATATTTGTTTGCAGGCTTAGCTGTGTGCTTGGGCCAGCTGCCATGGCAGTGCTGTCCCATCCTCTCTGTTGACTAAACATCAGCACTGGTGGGACCAACTCCCCTCATTACTGGGAGCGGGTTTACTGGGAGCTGCTCTGGACCTTTTGAGAAGGCAGTGAGAACAGCGGGAGCTTCACCTCTCCACAGCCCCGAGCTCAGTCCTTGGGCAGAGGAATCCCCACTGCCGTGTGCTTGCTGAGGTTCCTGGCCTCCTCCACCTGCGGAGGGCTGCAGTAATCCTGCAGGAAGATGGATGCCAGGTTGCTGAGGCGAGTGTTGGCCGAGAGGGAGAAGCGGAGCATGCACTCCACCACGGGCAGCGCCGTGGTCTGCGCGCGCGACTGYGGCGTGGTCAGGAACATCAGCGTGGTCACGGCCGACACCACGGTCTCCTCGTTGGAGCTGGACAGGCAATTGATGATGGGCTCCACCCCGTTGGCCTCCAGGATGTACTCTTTGTTTATTTTATCCAGGCACAGGTTGCACAGACCACCTAGAACGGCAAGAGGAAAGTGTCTGAGGTGATGCAAATTCACTGTTCCTCCTTTTTTTAACATCCAGATCTTCTGTTTGGATGGAAAATTCTTAATGGTTCCCTAGGCTGTGTTTTGTTGATTCTTTCCAGAGACTTTCCAGCAGCACACTCCTCCTCCCGTGTGTCATTAGAGGGCACTGTTAGTGCTGCACATAACTGCTTCAACAGAATGATTCCAGGATCACTCATCCCTAACAGGAGACACAAACCAGCAGTTCATTTTAAGTGCTTTAGAAAGCCACAGAATGGAGGTAACCGAGTTAGTAGCCAAGAAGCACAGAATGTTTGAAACTTGAAATTYTGAGATGCAGCTGCAAACCTTAAAAATGAAATATATTTCTTATCATCTCATAGAACCACTCACAGAATCTGGCCACTTAGCTTATGTTCAGACCATGAAGAATCACAGTAACGCAGATCCTCAGAGTATTTATTAAAAAGTGTCAAGTATTCTAGAATACCAGCTGGCAATAGCACCATGGTTGCATGGATCTGTACAACATACATGGCAAAATCTATATATTACAGACTGCTTCTCTACAGGAGAGATTTCRGTAAAAAGTTAATCAGGTAGTGTTTTGGGAAAAAAAAGTCCAAAATCCTTCCCAGACAGTGTCTTCATTAAGCTCTGGGGGGTGGGAGGTAGGTCATGCCTAMCTCTGACTTCTCTCCCATGCCACACATTCTGAACTAAACGAGGCTTTATCAGCACAGTGTGGGTTTGTTTTTGGAGCTCTGCGTGCATTTGGGGCGGATTAACCACCAAGCCGAGAGCGGGGCCCGGTGTCCCCAGAGCCGGTGASAGCTGAGGGTGCTCGGGGCAGCCCTTACCGATGGCGAACTCCACGAGGGTCTCGCTGTCCTCGGTGAGCATATCGAGGAACAGGTCCAGCACCTGCAGCTGCCGCAGGTACTCGTAGTTGCTGGGATCGTAGGCAAAGTTGGCCAGGTTCGCCAGCACCTGCTCCTTGGCCTCTGCAARGGAAAAGCGTCGGGTGTGTGAAGAAACCCTCGACACGGAGAGGGCGAGCGAGCAGCGGCGTTTGTTACCTGTGCTGTCCGTCACCTGGAACTCAGTGACGAGAGCCTGCAGGTACTCCAGCCGCCCCAGTTCCATCGCGGGACGCCGCGCTGGGCTGCCCGTTCCCCCGGGCACCGTCGGCTCAGGGAGCGGCTGTCCCGAGTGCTGGGGACGAGGTGGCCGCCTCAGAGCAGGGGGAAAAACCCACGAGCCGCCATCTTGAGGGCGGGACACGGCAGAACCCTCTTCCCCTCAGGCGGGGCGGGAGCGGCCGCCATTTTGTGGGCGGGAGGGGCGGGCTCACTCCGTCGTGAGGGGAGGGTTCACTCCATCCTCCTCCTCTCTATTAATAATAATACATAATTATATTTTTAGCTATAAATATATAATACATCAATATGTATAAAATATATAAAAATAAATGGGCCTATGAAGAGATAGTTGACTTTGTCTCGTTATACGGCAAAGCTTTGCTGTTTAAAAGCTTTATTCTGCAAAGCAGCTGACCTTTCCCCACTGCTTGCTTACTTAAAGAATTGTCACCTCTGGGTATGTTTTCCTGCTCAATCACAATGCTGCTCTCCTTGTGGTAGTGCTGCTCCGGATTAGTTCCAGTTTAAATAACAGGATTGCAGCTCATGAAGCTGAGGGAGAAAGGGTAAAACCAGGGCCCAATACATGTACAGGGAGGTAAATTACCTGGGGGAAAAAAAAGAAACAAAGCCAAGGAGCAAATGAAAAGAGCAGCAGGTGATTCCACCTTGGTTGTACAATGGTCTGGGCACAGAGTGGAGCAATTCCCTCGTTCTTAACTGAYACAGCTCAGTGGAACCACTGTGATTTTACGTGCTGCAAGAGGGTTCAATTATGGTTCATGTGGTGTAAATACACAAGGTAAAGGTTAATAAACATCATAAAGTGTGGGAGTGGACTCTGCAGAAATTTGTACTGCTTTTATTGAAGCAATTACATGCATGGATGTTCTTCTGTGGATAAGGCAAGGAACAGGCCGTGAGAACATGTTGTCTTTTGTGTTATCTGAAATACAACTGATTTTCATATCAAGCAAATTAGTCATGGACTGATCCGCCAAATACATGGCACCAGTGACAAGAGTGGTGGGCTGATAACCCACACAGCTGGAGGCACAAAGATATCTGCCCATGACCACACTACATAGAAGGATGAGCAAAGAAGCTGCACTGAATGCAGTAATGCTAAATATTTTAATATTGTAATGGTGTGGGAAGACGCAGAACATGAAAGGGAAGGTGTTTATTTCTAGTGTTTATTGTATAAAAGTTGAAGCCAGCTAAGCGCTAGCAGCTTCCGCTCTTAGTGTTATTATCAGCTGAAGTCAATATGTATTTATGTATATGTCTATATATATATATATATATATGTATATATATATGCATATTTGAGCATATATGTATCAAAAACTTGATCAGCAAAGGTGCTACAAACTATTTCTATATTAGAATGTTTTGCTGCTGTAGTAAGAAATCTCTTTTAATGTGTGCCTTTCTAAGTGGTAACTGTTGATACACTTTAAAGCCACATCTGTCATTAAATAGAAGGTGAATAAGTAATGTGGGAAAGCAGGAGCAGAGAAAGCAAACATGGGGAGCTAGCCCATACAAACAGAGCACAACTGGGATTGACTAATAAGGGGTGGAAAACTGTGTTTAAAAAGGAAAAATGCAATTACTTCTGTTTGTAAGAACTGCATTGAACTGCATTTACTCACCCAATATTGGCTGTACAGTTTAATGGTCTGAGTGCTCCAAGCACTTGCTGTTTGCCAGAGCAGTTCCCAGAGCAGGAGCTGGGCAGTCACAGCTCCAGGGGCTATTCTGGTGCCTTCCATAGCACACTGAACCCAGAATTCAGGGAATTTTAATTTCTAGTAGTCATTTTTTTTCTTATAGTTAATAGCCCTGTCTGCAAACAACAAGCCAAACTCTAAAATTAAGTGATTTTGCACTTCTGAGGTGTCTTAGATTATGTAAGATTGCTGTGAYCTTTATTTGGGTTTTATTGATATTAAATATTTTAAAAATTAATATTAAACTCTCCCAAATATTACATTGGCAGAGAATCTGAGGCTTTTAAGGATTATGATCTGCAATATTTCAGTGTGAACTTCCTAGTGAATGTTTCATTTCAGTGAGTAAAGGTGCTTCTTGGCAAAATGCTTATCTTGCAAGGGTCAGAATATCTTCARTGATGAAGGGAGCTGGTTAAAGGCAAGAAAGGGAGACCTGGGGAGCAAGGAAGGTTTAATGCTGGTCAATTTTTGTTGCTTTGCTGTTTCTCAGAGATTTGTAACCTGGCTGAGTTATTAGTGTTTGTCCCTAATTAAAACCGGGGTTATTTTACCATCCGCAGGTGTTAAAAACAAAGCTAACACCTCTTAACTAAGTTAACTAAGTTAATTGTTAAAGAAACTGCATCAGTGGGGCTGTGGTTGCCTTGTGTAAAGGCCCAACCTTAAACTAATGCGGGGAACTTTTATTGCTTTATTTTTCTTCTGATCCCCAAGATTCCTAAAGACTGAGTGTTACTGCTCCTATAGAATCACTCTTAGGGGGATTATTTATTATCCTGTAGCATGCTCAGGTCCCTCCCGTTATCCTTTGCCAAGCTCCTGCTCAAAGCAGCTCCGAGTTGAGGTTGGAAACAGAGGTGGGAGATGAGACCCGTGGAAAGGAGAGGAGGGAGGTTGTTTTCTCTGTTATGGAAACCCAGACATTTTATTCATCTGTGGAAACASAGCATAAAATGTTACTTCTTGTCTGCTGAGGATTTACTTCAAACCTGTGCATTGTGAATTACTTTTCAAGGGTCTGTGGAAAGTAACCAGTAAACTCTGTTTTAAGGCTTGAGTTCAGTAAGGCTGTTAGAAAAGCTTTAGCCAGCAAACTGAGAAATGTTAAAATAACATGTTTGTGAATTCATTGTTTTTCTTCCCAGAAACCTCTCTCTGCCCCTGCAAATGACTGGTGAGTCTGGGTGTATCAGAAAGCAGTTCTGGAAAACACTTTCCTTGCTTTCCATCCTAAATTACCTTGCCTTGCTGTGCACAATCAAGAAATGGTCAAAACAGGTTTCTTTGCCTTGGTGTAGGAATAGCTGATCTCTGTGAAGATATCCTTTCTCATAAGGCAGCCAGGGCTAAAGCATTACAGGTGGAGCAATGCTCCACGCAGGAAATGCCTTCCATTGCTCCTTCACCTAACCTTTGTTTCCTGTGAGAAATTTTGGTGCGTTGTAGCTTACACCACATCTCGCCTGTTTTGCTCAAGACATTTGTAGCTGTGGGAGGATCTGGGGCAATGTAACCTCATATTTCCATAAGAAAACAAAAAGGGAATGTAGAAAGGTAAATTGAATTTAAAATGTAGGAATTACACACAGAGAAAATGGCAATCTATTCAGCTGCTTAGYTGTTTATTTGCAATARCTAGAAGAGATTTGGGACTTAATCYCTTTTCATTGCTTTTTTGAGAGGGAGGAAGCCCTCTCATTTTCCTAGGAATGTACAGCAGTCTGTTTTGGTAAGCTGAGAAGCACCAGTCCCTGTTTACTTCGTAGTTATGGACCATGTAGGCATTATATAAGTTAATAAACACATGTGATGAGAGATTAGATATGTATACCTCCCACTAATCATCTTATTTAAGTATAGGTTTGATCAGGAAATGCAAATCCTCCTGGTTCCGTAATCCCAGGGCCGTACTGGAGAAAACACTGAGCTGTGGSAACAGGARACCTTCTGAAGGKCTGATGCCTCTTCTGTGTCACAGCCAGCTGTGAAACTGTCATAGTCTCTGAAGACCTTGGAGTCAGTTTTCCAGAGRTTTCATCCAGAGTGGGGTTTTTGTGGTTGGTTTGTTTATTTGTTTTGTCTGGGCTGCTCTAATGAAAACTGTGGGCTTGTCACTAGRAATTTGACAGGACATTTCTCCAGAGAAGCACCGCAGCTGAGTTTGATATAACAGTTCTTAGGCACTGGAGTTCTCYTGAAAGCTGTTACTTGTTCCATTTCACTCCCATTTTGTGCTTCCATCTTTTTGATGGTTCTGATGTGTTGGGATCCATATGCTTATTCTTAGATCTAAYATCACCTTTGCTGCCTTCCTTCCTGGCCCAAATGAGTTCTGCTTAATGCTGAAGTGTGTTTACATGAGCTGTGAATCTTCTTTTATGATATATTAAACAGCACTTGAGATATCAATAGTTATACAAAGCAGGCACAACAAGGCTTGGTGGATTGTTTGTTTTGTTTTGGGGTTTTTTTWRG